AATAAGTGACAGGATTAAAACCAAAATAGAAAGTGTTCTTCATCGGAATGCTGGTTATTCAACATTATGCAAGATTGCAGATATACTTTCCGGTAAACTAGCAACATTCGAAGATGATACAGAACTGTCACCAAACGACTTGACATTCTTCAAATATGCTCCTGTCACATCATGTTATGTGGAACGAAGTTTTTCCAAATACAAAACTATCCTAAGTGATAATCGGCGATCTTTCAAATTTGAAAATGCATATAGTTATAAATTGCAATTGTAACAGTGAAAATTGAGACGTGAATAACTCAGTGAAAATTGAGACGTGAATAGCTTGTGTTCTTTTAAATGGTGTTTTTAGATAACAGAGTTAAGTTAGTGTTCATACCATGTGCACCAGTGTTTGTCTATAATATGAACGCAAATATCAGCATTAAAAAGAAAACAATGAATGGTTTAATCCAGTACGAAATATCGAAATTCCATCAGTTTTCTTTCCTTCAGAGACATAATAGGGCTAATTTGGTAAGTAGGACCTACTATCATATATTCATCATCTTTATTCTTAAAATCTAGTAAAAGTTGTAATTAAAATTGTGAAACTTTATGTCCCATTTAATAGTTAAGGTCATATTTTACACTTTTTAAGGAATATTTGACATAATTTTGGGTCATAAGTGCATGCATATATTTATAGTTTTAGGTCATAAAAATCAGGGCCCTAGTGATGATGAAGTTGATGATTAGGTCCATTCGGTTAGGCAATTCCGTTTTAAACGTGTGGGGCTATGGATCATTGATCTTTACACCTTAAATGTGCTGAAACAAGTAAATGACATATTATAATATTACCTTGAAGAAACACGGACATCGAATCAGGCACGCAGAGGGTTTGTTACTCATTGACCAGAAAGTGAATTGGTTTGTTTCCCAATTAGTCACATCAAACATATAGGGACCTCTTGCAGATGCCTCTTCCTTACCGCTGCCGTTAGTGTCACGGCACTTCTGTCTGCAGCTAAAAATAGCCTGGTGTTGAAATACTCAAACGGTCGATCCGTCGGACCCAGCGAATATCTCAGCTTGAGGCTATTTGTAGCTGCAGCTAGGTATCGTCGCCTTATCGGCCACGGTAAGAAACGTGAAAGCTCGTAAGAGGCCAGTGGGCATGTTTCCCAATCAATTAACTGCCCTGTCGGCTACTTAGCCTCTTTGTTTGTTGGTTCGATAGTTGTTTTTTATTGCTAGTGGGGTGGGACTAAGTCCCTTGTACTGCGGCCACTTCTGGCCTATTGTACCAGCCCCAGATGATAGGTGAGGGTGATTGTGGAGCAATTGGTGGAATGAAGATTGGCAGGGGAAACCGAAGTACTCGGAGAAAACCTGCCCCAGCGCCACTTTGTCCACCACAAATCCCATTTGACCAGACCCGGGATCGAACTCGGGCCGCCGCGGTGGGAAGCCAGCGACTAACCGCTTGAGCTATGGCGCGGCCCTGGTTCGATAGTTAGTTAGTCAGCTATGTGGTGAATTTGTTTGAACTTAGTACGTCCATAATTTATTTTAGCATTTATTTAGTCAGTCGATTTGCCATTCCAAATCTCCCCTGAATGAAATGGAAGAAATCTATCAGAATTTACGGGCAGATTCAATCAAAAGACGTCCAGAATGCGTCCACGTGTTTACAGCCGAACATAATTTCGTCTTGTATATCACTTAGAACGCCGCCTGTATAGAAATTTATGTTGGTGTCGACAACTTTTTTATTCAGTGTGGAGTCACTTAAAAGTTTATAAGGAAACTGCGAAGTTACGTCTCCCTGGCCAAGTTGTAATGGAGTTAACGTAGGGCCAACAGGTTTCCTTATTGGACCATATAACCTTTAGATTCCTTACAAATTAGCTTTGTGTTCCCTCATGAGCATCAGCATAGCAAGGAAACCACTTCTGTCCAAGTGTAGACGTAGGAAAGCTTCCTCCCTACTCATACACAACCTTGTTTCTCAATACTGGTTCGCGGGACACGGCAATCTGTAGTTTACATCCACACAGGAGACGATATTGTAAAGTTATAATATACTGTCACGCGTTGGGTATGTTCCGCGATAAATAATTTCACGTGGGTGTCGGACTTAGCGAATTTTTATTGAACACTCACTCTTACAATTATTATCACTTGCAATATCAACTGTCCTTAGCCGTGACTGGATCCCGACTGTCTGTAGCGGCAGCTATCCCAAGACTGTCTCGTTCTCGTCTCTGGCTCTGCTTATATAGGCGTTATGCGGACCGGATAGCAGACACCATTCCTCAAGGTTCCGTTACTACTATTTCCACAGTCCGCTGTTACGCAACGAGCCTTCGGCTGTTCATCTCCGGGGAGATTCGTTCGTCGTTTCGGCGTTGTCTACGTAACGGCTCACTGTAATTGCGTTACCATGGAAGTACACACTCCAAACACGTTACGATTAGTTTACCTAACGCTTCACTTTCAACTTACTACCTTAAATGGGGTCGAATGACATGCAGAGAAGGTACCAAAGCAATTATGTTAATATTTAATTGAGAAAAGGACACTTCCCACGTACGCGTATCTCACAGTTCTCAAAATTTGTAAATATCACAACCTACGCAATATATGTGAGCATAAAGAACTTGACCCTATATTCCACCAATTAATCTAAGACATGGGGTTGAACAAACGCCAGCCAGCGGGCCAGATCCGACACGAGAACTCCTTGAACCCTGTCAGAGTCCTATCATACATTTCAAGAGAATATTAAAACTATACCAGTCTACATTCTGGGTAGGCCTGGAACATATATATGGTAATTTAATTAGGAGTATGATTATAATAATGTCACGTGTATTCGTGACTAATAACGCCATCGCTATTTCTACACATTATAATTTACTGTTACAAACACTAGTGCCCTCAGCCTATTTTCACTAGTCGTCTCCTGGTAACGGAATTAAAACATTCTCACTGTGATTAAATCTTCTAATAACATACTAAGTCTTCACAAGTCGACTTCTAATTCTTCAATTCTCTTGATGTTCGAAACTCCTAGTTCCAGTTTTCCCTCGCCGTAGTAGATATATTCGCTCTAGTCGATCCAATTCTCTCAACTGCCCTTCGAACTAATCTTAACTACAGAATGTCTTTATACAGATTCCGCACGGGCCACACAGAAAACACCTCTCATTCTTGTAGCGTATTCTTGTACGCGTTACCCAGCAATGACTTCTTTACGAAGGATCTGTTTTCGCGGGGACTTGTTTACCGAGCCGTTACCTACAAATGGGAACCCATGTTACAATAATGTTACGAGAAAGAACACATTTTGTTCCATAAAATTTAAACCGATGCTACGAGAATACATTTTCTCACAACATGGCATGTGTTCAGCCGCCTGACAGGGAGGTCTGCCAACAAAGCACGGTAGTCGGCAATACGCTGAACAAGCATTCGTGAGGAGCCGGTCCTCGAGTCTGAGGGTTGAGCGCTGCTTGTTAGCTCCGGGTTCTGAGGCCCCTAGACAGGGACTAGTGGGGCAGTCTTGAGGATGCAAAATGAAACTTTGGATTCCATAAAAGGAGGGAAATACATAAAAAACTAAACAAATATTAACTTCTAAAGAAGGATTCTGTTCGCACAGAATTACTGGGTTTGGGACTTTTTCCATCGTCTGGAATTCTAGGCAACAGAGAACACGACGTTTCAGAAACTGGAACTGTTTCCGTCTTCAGATGAGAGAGGATCAGTGATTGAGATTAGCTCTTTCTAATGGGCTCAACTGAGTAGATGTCTTCCTCTCTCACCTGAAGACGGAAACAAATCCAGTTTCCGAAATGTTGTGTCGTCTATTACCTAGAATTCCGGACGATGGAAAATCCAGTAATTCTGTGTGTCATCCACCATCGTCAGAACCCTTTAGAATCTACAAGGATTCTGTTTTGTAGAGTGACAGAAATTTAAACTTATTAATTTTTTTCTTTTCCCTTGGCACTACAGCCCCAGTGGGCCTAGGCCTACCTCGATGAACTTCTCCGTTCACTTCGGTTTTCTAGATCTTACACATTCGGTAGGACTCCTTGGGCGGGTGATCAGCTCGTCGCAAGGCCTCTACCTGTACACAAACACAGAAAAACGCACACACACAAACTAAACATCCATGCCCTGAGTGGGATTCGAACCCACGATCCCGGCTTCCGAGCGAGGGAAGACAGTGCATGCCTTAGACCGCTCGGCTACCGTGACCGGCCAAACATATTAATTAGTTAGCCTAAATTTCTTCTATATATGTCTGAAATGGGAGACCTAAACTGATCACTTAACAATTTTAGTCTTCATCCATAAAGAAATTAGGTTCATATGGTTGCCTAAGCCGATGATACGGGCAGCCAACCTAAGCAATTGTCAAACCTGCAACTAATGGGACTCTGACAGGTTACAAATACATTGCGCGGCAGTGCTGCCATCCAAGAATGTTCGGCAAACAGTTCACTTCAAGCAGATGCGTCCTGTTCAAAAAATGATGGCTGTTCAATATTCTTGCAGACACTCAGAAATGTGAAATGCAGGCGGTTAAAAAATAATCACCACTCACCTAAGTCGTCCACTTCGCATGGAAGCACCAGGGTGTCACCAATTACTGCCCGAAACGTCTGACCGCGAGACAGGAATCGTGGCGCCATCGTCACATCAATCGACACCCCTGGAAGAGAAAAACACCATACCGACACCTCAGTATTAGCAGCGTCAGAACGGACAGCCAGCTAAGGAGAGGACACTACTAATGATTCTCCACTCATGCGCAGTAACAGCTTCCGGCTGCGTTTTACGTGTTCTTCGTACATTATTAATAAGCGGTAAATTTTCTACATTCGATATCAGTTAAATATCACTTATCCGAAATTTGTTCAGAGCTAAAATAGTATATTTGTCAAAGCGTGCGAAGGGTAAAATTGATACAAAGATAAATTTAAATAAACATCAAGTATTTTACATACTTTATGCTCATATATATATGATGATCCATCCACACCGTCCCATGATTCACCCACTTACTCGATCAAACAATACCCCCTATATCCTAGCGTGTGCACAGAGATACTCACAGTAGTTCTATATATATTTTCTTTTATTTACATAAAATTAGCAATCAGAATTACATTTGATTCTATAAGCTAATTAGCTGTAGTATTCTTCGTGACGTGGAGAGGGCTTATCCTGCGATAAGTCCTCGTTAACCCTCTCTCAGGTCGGCTGGCCAATTCCTTTTCAGTCTTCGCTCATTGTGTGGTTCCAGTGACGGTTGCATTAGTACGTTCTCATGTCCTTCTGTTTTGTTGAGGTATCTTGTGCTTTTCCCTTTTATGACTTCCTTTACTAGCGGCACTTCCAGGTCTTCATGGAGTGTTATATTGGAAACATACCGTGGGGCGTTAGTAATTATACGTAGTATCTTTGACTGACAACTTTGGATTATGGAAATATTGGTTTTGCTAGCACATCCCCATATTTCCACTCTATATAGCCAAAGTGGTTTTATTATTGTTTTATAAAGTAAGATTTTATTGTCTAATGAGAGTTTGGAATTTCTTCCAATTAACTAATGCATATCCTTGATTTTTATATCACTCTGTTTGCGATTTTTACTAATGTGCTCCTTCCAGGTTAGATGGTTGTCTACATGAATACTTAAGTATTTTGTGCTGGGTGATTCAGGTATTTGTATGTTATTAAAGAAAACTGCAGGACATTGTTCTCTTCTTAGACTGAAGTTTTGGGGACAGAAGAGGATATTCCCATTTCAAGGAGAAAGCTCTAGATCGCATTAAGTGGAGGAACTGTTTTGGAAGAGACTGTGGACCTGTCGTCTTGACAGATTACTGATGAATGAATACTATCATTGATTCTCGTTCTGAACTCTCTGCCATTTATTTAGGAATTTAGTGGAAATAAGTGATTGGCAGATATTTTTTTTATTTTCTACAGTAGTCCTGGATACCATACCTTATCAAAGGCTTCACTTGAGTAGGTATATATGTATCTATTATTCTGAAAACAGGTTAACGGTTTCAGAAAGCAGCAGCAGCAGCAAAAACGTACCAATATTAAGCGGAAATTTAGTAGGCCTAAACGAGTCCACCTTTTAGCAGCACTGCAGAACACAGGAATACACAGAGTCTGTACAAATTAATGTAAGATCTTGTTAAGAACTTCCCAACGTGTACACAGGGCGAATCAGGAGAAGTCAGCCAAACTTCGTGGACACATTAATCACGTGATTTTGAGTCAACAAATTTTCACCTGTCCGGAAAGTTTAGGGAAAGTAATGGAAGTTAGAAAGTATGATAAAGGCATAAGACAAAGAAAAGGTTTTCTGAAAGAATTCACAGCAATATCAGTGCAAAGTAATTAAACGTGAATAAAACCTGCTACAAAAAGTAATCAAAGTAATCACCTGAGAGTTGATGCACATCTGAGTACAACTTATTACTGAATCAGTTGGCAACACTTTACGTATTTCTATCACCTGCACTATGTCCAGCAATGAGGTACTGCAGGAGCAATGTGCTCCTAAGTAGAAAATGTTATGTCCACTAAACAGAGTTTGTATTAGAGATAATATGTGGCAGTTTATTCGGTTCATCAGTAATGTTTCTTCCATTTTTCTTTGTTCGGATATTTTATTTTAACATCCCATGTTAACAATACTCCTTACATGCACTGCCTTTACTTTTCATACGGTTTCCCATTGGGTTTACAATACAATCTATCATCTGGAAAAATAAAAGCAACCAAACAGTGATACAGGTTAATTTTCGCTACAGTAATTACGGATTTTTTTTAGAGATCTGTACTGTTACAATTCCAGTTGTCAGTCCACGAGCCCATATACTTAATTACGGCTTCAAAGCCATAAAGCAAAACACCATCTTCTCGAAAAGTAATCAGAACTCTAAACTGGTTAAGGAATGCGTTAGTACCCCGTGAGTATCACGACATACTTCTGCTAAGCTGACCTCTAAACGCACTCTGACTGTTGGCCCAAATTCCCCTCATGATACTGTTTCTATTTTGCTTTTTATTTGTAATGGTGGGACTAAGTCCCTTGGCCACTTCTGGCCTGTTGAACCAGCCCCAGATGATAGATGAGGGTGATTGGGGAGCAATTGGTGGAATGAAGATCCACCACAAATTCCACTTGACCAGACCCGAGATCGAACCCGGGCCTTCACGTTGGGAAGCCAACGACTAACCGCTTGAGCTATAGCGCGGCCCGATACTGCTTCTAACTTTGCTATACTCCAAGTAATCATGAAAGGGTTAAAATTATGAAGTAGAATGCCCCAGCAGAACTAGTCGATCCATCTGCAGAAGCAATGTGCCTTCAACAACAACACTGAATTTCTATAGAAGTTTGAATTTGACACAGTTGAACAGTTTCACAAAAATAAAGTACCCAACTGTTACAATGTGTGACGTGAGAGACCTTATTTGAAGAGAAGAATAAAGCGCTCACGCATACAAAGTGGAAAATCATGTCAGTTGCAATTTTTATTTTTAAATTAGGGCAAAAATGGCATAATCCTTGGTGCCGATATTAAAATTTAAGAATATAGTTGAAAATTACAATCGTGTCTCTGATACTATATATTCATTATGTTTTAAAAGTGTAACATACCCACATATCTAGAGAGATAGGAACGAAGCAACTAATATGAAATGAACAGCATATTAACAGAGTACGAAAAGTAGTATTGCGTACTACACAGATATAAATTATAATGAAACTGAAGCCGGATATTCGATCAATACATTGCGTATGCAGATAATAATTCTGAAACTCTTCTGCAACAGAAATTACACGTTGCTATGGATCTGTATTACTGAAGGTTTGTTTAAATACAAGCGATCAAGGAGGGGACTAAAACAAAAGACCAGCTGGTAAGTTTTATTTCCTAATTTCCAGTTACTGTCATGCAGTGCGGATGGAAGCAAAACATATGGAAACCCTGTGAAACGCGGAATCTACAGATGTCTCTGTTCTGCCCCTCATCAACCCCAAATTGCCCTAAGGGACAATATGTTTTGTACACATGACATGATGCCGACATGTTAGCCATGGGCCAGTAGCATTCCAGGGAAAAAGAGAACAATGACGTCATTAACCACTCAACACTAGGAAGGAAATACTAAATTGCTATGATATGAAAATGAGATACGCACAGTGAGCTTCTTTTCAAAACGTTTGTAAACACTGCGGAAAGGAACATTACTAATAATTTAAAAGGAACTATTTCATCAGTATAACTGGGAAAGAGAAATTTGAAGCGGTTGTTTGTTTCTTCTTTTGCGGTACGTTTGACGGTAATGTCAGTTTATCTGAATGCAGAGCGTCGAAAGGTAGCATTATCGGTGAATGCTTCGTGAAGGTGTAGAGAGCTAACCGAAGTACTATCCCAGAATTTCCTGGCAGTAAGGAAATCACGAGAAACCTCGGCCAGTATAGCCGGTGTCCTGGCTCATTTTTTAATCGAGCAGCTCCCAAACACAACTGTAAACCATTACTGATGAATGAATGAACTGATCGATTAGACTAAGAGTATTTGTAGAACGGAGTTAATAATAGTAGTTATAGTAATAGTGGTAGTAATGTAGTAGTAGGACAACAGTAGCATCAATCAATATTACTACCCTCTGGATATAAAAATAATTCCGCGGAGCGGAAGCAATGCGTCGAGTAATTTCAAATAAAACTGGGGAAGAACGGGCAGATTGAGCCACAGCAAGGCGTGGCAGGGCAAAGCTAGTATATTATATAAAATATACAATACATAAATATAATATAATAATTCAATTCAGTTCTTTATTATTTATGTGCCGAGTCAACAGCCTCAAGGCCAATTACAAACAGAACACATTGTAGATAAAAATAATTACATTATAGACAAAAACATTATAAAGTCAATGACAAATTACAGGCAAGCACTGGGGAAAACACAATAATGTAGAAAAGTAAACAAACAAACAAATGATTATAATAGCAATAATAATATAATTAACATAAATCTAAGTGTTATTAAGAACTGAGAAATGAAACATATTTAATTAAGAAATGAAAAGTAGAGATTTTCAGGGGATAATAATAATAATTCAGTTTATTGTTTTATTGTACATGCAAATAATAATGATACTGTAACGTGTTTCGTTACAGAATACGCCGTAGAGATCGTTAATTGGTTTATTTAACAATCTACAAATATCGGCTACAATTAATTATCACAATGTTACGGGTTTCCACAGTTTACAAACCCTACAACAAAATCTTCACGTACTAATAACGCGGGAGCTATACAAATCTCCCTGTATTACACACTCCAAGTACAACTGTACTACAGCACTCACTAAGTCTCGAAAGCACACAATAAGTCTTCCGCCCGCTGACTTCTTAGTTATCGCGCACTCGCAGGCTGCTACCTTGAGCACTGTTGATAACACACTGGCTGTCGCTTGCTGCTCAGCCGGCTTTTATTCCGTTCGCTGTTGCTAGTGTGACGTGGCGTATAGCCTAGGACGCTGTTACCCCTTGGTGACGTCACCGCTGTTGACGCGCTTTGCATAGCTTCAAGGTTGCGGGGACTCGGCTAACGTCGGTTCCGCTCGGCTCACTTCGGCTCCGCTCGTGACGTCACCGCGGGGAGAGTT